TCTCCCTTCTGGCTGGGGGCATGACTTTTCCTCTTGGATTAGTAACCTGGCAGGAGTGACATCTGGAAAGACAGCTCTCAATCATTTTGGTTAGATCGAAGATATGGTAGAGTTAGGAGTTCTTGTAACTTTCTCTTTCCTAGGTGAGTCCCTTTGTGAAGTTTATATATTAAGTCCTCTGCCAGCTTATGCGGAGAATGAGCCTCCACCAGAGGTGTATCTCCATCCATGCTTGATCTTGGTATTTTCCAGGGAAGTTAAACCTGATCGTCCTGAGCTGAGTAGGAGGGCTTTTCTGGCAAGAGGGGATCAGGCAGAATAACCAGTAGGTTTGAGGCTGTTAGGGCTGCTTCTCTGGCTGCTAGGTCCACTCTCCTGTTTCCCTGTACCTGTAGTGAATCCCCTTTTTGGTGCCCCAGACAGTGGATGATGGCCAGTCTCTTTGGTAACCATATGGCCTCCAGGAGCTTTAAGATCTCTTGTTTATTTTTGATAGTCTTTCCTTCTGCTGTCAAGAGCCCCCTCTCCTTGAATATATAGCCCCATGGACATGAGCCATAGCGAAAGTGTAATGGCTATCAATGAAAATGTTAACAGTCTGGTCTTTGCTTAGCTTTAAGGCCTGAGTCAGGGCAATTATTTCAGCCCTTTGGGCAGAGGTCCCAACTGGTAGGGAAGAGGCCTACACTGTCTGTGATGGACTGATGGCCGCCCCCCGTGTACCTGGTTCCTTCCTTAATGAAGCTGCTTCCATCCATGAACAGAATTAAGTCTGGGTGGGGCCATGGAACATCCGTCAGGTCTTCCCGAGTCCCATGTAAGCTGCAGAGTACCTCCAGGCAGTTGTGCAGGACCTCAAGATCTGGTTCTGGCAGCAAAGTGGCAGGATTGAGAGCGGTGCTGAAGAGGAACTGGATGAGGGGGATTAAGGAGCAAGGCCCAATAATGCATCAACTGAGCATTTGTCATCTATCAGTCGGGGGGATTTTTAAGGACCCCTCAATCGAGGGGGGGTGACCATAAGGGGCTGTCCCAGCATGAGCTTATCTGCATCCTTAACCAATAAGACCGTGGCTGCGATAATTCTGAGGCAGCCTGGCCATCTCAAGGCCACGAAATCAAGCTTTTTTTGACAAGCAAGCCACAGGTCTCTTCCAAGGCCCAAGCATTTGGGTCAGGACTCCCTTTGCTATTCCCGCTCATTCATCCACAAAGAGCTGATAGGGCTTATGGATATCTGGCAGAGCCAAGGCCGGAGCCTGCAATAAAGCCTTCTTAATTTCTTGAAAGGCCCTCTCCTGAGTCTCAGTCCATAGGAAGGATGACTCATTTCCTCGAGTGGCTTCATAAAAGGGTTTTGCCAGCTCAGTGAACCTGGATATCCAGAGCCTGATCCCAAGAACTCTTGCAACTGCCTGTGGGATCTTGGGCTTGGAATTCCAATTTCTGGCTGGTGACAGCCACCTCTGTCCATCCCTTAATATGTACCCCAAGTACATTACCTCCATGACACAGAGCTGAGCTCTCTTGGTGGAGACCTTATACTCCATTCAGTCCAAGGTCAGGAGCAAATCTCTGGTGGCCTGAAGACAAGTGCCCTCATCCTTAGTGGCAATCAACAGGTCATCTACATACTGTAGGAGGCTTACCCCCGGGTGCAAGGCCCGATACTCAAAGATGGTGGGGGAGTTCTTGAACCCCTGTGGCAGTCGCATCCAAGTGAGTTGTCCATTAAACCCCTGGTTTGGGTCTCACCACTGAAAGGCAAAGATGGGTTGGCTTTCCTTTACCAAGGTCAGGCTAAAGAAGGCGTCCTTGAGATCTAAAACAGTATAGACCCTTCTCTCCGGAGAGAGTGAGCTCAGCAGGGTATATGGGTTGGGGTACCATTTTGGATCCATTGCTCTTTCAGCCAACAATAATCCTAGCCAGCCCTTTAGTTTGTCTTTCTTCAGGGGTTTCTCTATTGTTAAATACCTTGTTCACCACTGCCATCAGCTCAGAAAGGTTTTGCCCTTGAAACCTCTAGCTTTTGAAGTTTTCATTTTATGTCTGGAGCTGCCTGATTTATGAAAGCCATATTGATGGCCATATGATTACCTGGGGCCTCTGGATTTATGGGAGTACAAGTTCTGAAAGCCTCTAACAGGTGTTCCAGGTACGCTCCATGGAAGGTACGCATCCCTTCCCTGTATCACCTGACTGGCCTTAGACAAATTGGTGGGGTGCTTAGCAGCTGCCCAGAGACCCTTCCATAAGAATCTGGCGATAGACCTTTAGGCATTCCCTACCTTTGAGGGTGTTATAGTCCCACCCCTCTGTTGGGTGCGTGAGAGGAAAAGCAGCCATAATCAAATCCTCATTCTCTGTCGGTCGCCCGTCATTTCCAGGGACCACATGTCTGCATTCCCGAAGGATGCAGTTCTGTTCCTCAGTGGTGAACAGGATATTCAATAACTGTTGGTCATCATCCCAAGTGGGTTGTTGGGTAAAAAGAATGGTATCCAGGAGGCAAATCAGGGCCTGAGGCTTCTCTGTGAAGGAGGGAGTCTGTAACTTCCAATTATACAAGTCACTAGTAGAAAAGGGAAAGTAGACTACTGGGGCAATTCCATCCTCCTTTGGGGGCCCAATCTCCCTCCAGAAGAGCTTGCACAATTCTCCCCTCCCCTCATGAGCAAGTGTGCAATGGGCTGGGCTCTGCCATGGGAGGGGCCAGCTCAGCCATGGGAGCCAGGGATGGAGACCAGGAAGGACTGGAAGAAGAGGAAGATGCTAGTGACCTGCGCTCTCTAGGTCTATCCTGAGCACTCACTGGGGCCCTGTAAGGTGGCGGGAGTAAATCCTCTGGCGCCGAGAGGAGGACCTTGGGACCCGATGGGTTTTTTGTCTGCATTCTTCAGGGGAAGCAAAGTGGCTGACCCCTTAGGCCCCAATGGCAGGGGCAGCAGTAAGGGACGCAGTCAGTTGGGGGGCAGCAACCAGATATCACCAACCTAGGATATAGGGGATCTGGCCAGGGTGCCCCGGTTCCCCGAAGATAACTCCTTGAACCCTGTAGATGAGGGACAGGTTAAAGGACCCTTCAGGTGGCCATTCAACTTCAAAGGAGGGCTATTTGATGGTGCAGAGGGTCTGGAGGCGGGTCAGCTGGACATGGAATCCAGACATGTTTGAAGCCGCTCGTTTGTAGTCCTGAAAATGACTAAGAACTAGATCAAGGGAAGCTGAAGATGATGAGACTTTCTGGCCCATCGTGGGATAAGCTTCAAGAAAAAAGACTATAAGGAGAGGAATGAGAATGAGAAGAAGTGGGATGGAAAGTCGATAGGCAGAGCTCTGAGCAGAGGGTGAGGACAGTATGAGATGGCGGTTCCCTAGAGGGAGAAATGAAAATCTCGCAGCGTGCACGGAGTCAGCCAAGAAGGCTGCCCCTGTCCCTTTCCCAAAAATTTGGCCAGCCTGGATTCCACGTCAGACTCAACCAGAATCTTGCGTCTGGCCCACCTGGATTCTGTGTTGGGCTGGGCCAAGACTCTGGGTTGGTCCCACCTGGATTCCACGTCAGGCAGGAGCATGACCCCTTATCAGAGGAGGAGTCGGGGCGTCTTCCATTCTCTTCCAGCTCTGGGATCAATAGTGTGTCTGCCTGATCTCCATTGAATCCCAGGATGTCTGGACTACCCAAAAGCGACAGAGAGAGAGAGAGAGAGAGAGAGATGAAGGCAGGCAGAACTTACCGAGGCCGGCTCCGGTGGCGCTTCCGTGGGTCTGGGGTCTCTATTCTCGAATCCCAGACAAGCCCCCACAATATTAGGGTTCGAGAATTGAGACTAATTCCCACAGATAACCCAAAAAGATTATACAAAAAGTTTATTCAAGAATTTAAAGTAGCTGGGCATGGTGGCGCACGCTTTTAATCCCAGCACTTGGGAGGCAGAGGCAGGTGGATCTCTGTGAGTTCAAGGCCAGCCTGGTCTACATAGTGAGTTCCAGGACAGCTGGAGCTACAGGAATACCCTGTCTCAAAAGGAACAAAAAAGAAAGAATTTAAAGTAAAAAAAGACGACAACCAAATGGCAGCTAGCCAGGCAGAGACTACACACGCCAAAGATGGAGTCTGGCCCCGAACAATAGCAGGCAGGGGCTTTTATTGGGGCACTCCACAGAAATCCGCGCGTGCCAAGCATCTTTTAAAATAATTGGATGTCCCCATATCCTGTGTATGGGGAAGTCTTGATTGGTAGGGGCTGTCTTCAGGGCATTGGAATGTGCTGACTGATATCTTTTAGAGCCAAAAATTTTGTTCATACCTTTTAAGGCTTTTACATGTACAATATGCCTGAGCTTGTCTGGGCTTGTCTAAAGAAGCTAGCCAAAGTGAAGTCAGAGCATTCTGGCTCTTCACAAACTATTTCATAGGTGGAAATATGTGAGATTCGTTTTAATTACCAAAATGACTTTTTTTTTTTTTTTTGAGTTAGGGTCTTCCTGTAGCCTCAGCTAGCCTGGAACTTGGTTGGTATGTAGATCAGGTTGGCCTCAATTTCACAGAGATCTGCTTGCTTTTGCCTCCAGAGTGATGAGATTGATTAAAGGCATGCACCTCCCATGCCTAGCTAAGATGACTTTTTTATGTTCTGGGTGGGGTAGTACATGCTTGTAATCTTAGCACTTAGGAGACTGAGGCAAAAAGATCATGAGTTTAAGCCTTGGCTACATAGTGAGACCTTGTCTCACAAACAAATCAGAATTGACATTGTCTACTATAAAGCCCAGATTAGGAATGGCTTCTTCATTTGGATTTCAGTAGGCTGGAAGCCCCTTTTACACTGGCCCAGAATATTGCTCCTTAGACCAGCCAGTTACTTTGTCAACTTGTGCACTAGCTGCTGCACAGAAAGGCAGCGTTCTCTTGGTGTACTGGAGTCAGGACTCACTCCTAAGCTAAGAGGAGCTTCTTGCTACAGTAAACTTGTTTTCTTCCTGTCTTGTTTCAGCTGCTGCGCAGGTTCTGGAACCTCTGGCAGTCCAGCATTGAGCAGAGGGAGGAGAGAGTGCAGCTCTGCTCACTGCATGCGGCCTGGAGCCACTACAGGTAGGACTTAGGTTCAGCCTCTGGGGATACCTGGTGACTCTGACTCAGGGTCTTCCAGGACTGAATGGTTACTCTGGCATGAGTTAGTGCCTCAGATTCAGAAAGGTCTTTGATGGATGGAGGCCACATCATAATGCCTCCTGAATTTGTGTTCGCTTTGGCAGACTGGACAGGAGGTGGAATGATGGCATTTATGCTGGGTGTTGGCTACCACTGTAAGTGCCTGTTGGGTCACTCCCTCCATTCTTCTGCAGGCCTTACAGAGTTAGCCTCTCAGAATTTATGCATTGTGTCTGGGGATATAACTCAGTAGCAGAGTGCTTGCCTAGCATGAGCAAGGCGGGGTTTGATCCCCTGCACTGTAACAAAAAAAAAAGACTTCATGAATCACTTATGTTAAAGGGGCAGGCCAGGGACTGGAGAGATGGCTCAGCCGTTAAGAGTACTGGCTGCTCCTGCAGAGGACCTGGGTTTGGTTCCCAGCACTCACATGGTGGCTAACTGCCCTGCATAACTACAGTTCCTGGGGATCCCATGCCCTCTACTGGCCTCTGAGGGCATTGCACACATGCAATGCACTTACATACATGCAGGCAAAATGCTCATACACATAAAAAAATAATTTAAAGGCTCAGTTTTCAAAGGAGGAGAGAATGTTCTCAATGATTTTAGAGTATGTCCAAATACTTGGATCCTATAGGGGACATTCTCGTTCAAACCACCACAAAAACCAAGTATAATTTTCTCACATTTGATATCACTAGGTGAACAGGAGCTTGTCATGGCCCACACAGTCCTAATCAAATAAGCCCTAGTGTTTGGTTATAAACCTAGAAATCTTATGATACTTGGGAGATTTTTATTTTTATTTTTTGGTCTTTTTGAAACAGGGTCTCCCTGTAGCTCCAGCTGTCCTAGAACTCACTATGTAGACCAGGCTGGCCTTGAACTCACAGAGATCCACCTGCCTCTGCCTCCCAAGTGCTGGGACTAAAGGCATGCGTCACCACGCCCGGTGATACTTAGGAGATTTAAAATATATATATTTTTTATTTATTTATTTTATTTTATGTGTATGCGTGTATTGCCTGCATGTAGGTAAGTGTACCCGTGTTGTGCAATGCCCACAGAGGACAGAAGAGGCTATCGGAGCCCCTGGAACTGGAGTTACACAGTTGTTAACTGCCATGTGGGTGCTGGGATTCAAACCTAGGTCTTCTACAAGAACAACCACTGAACCATCTCTCCAGCCCTGATACTTAGGAGATTTTATATCCTAAGTTGTAGAGATACTGTATTTGATGGTCTAGTTAGGCTTACAAGTAAGTTGTCAGGGGTTGGAGGTATGTAGCTCAGCGTAGATTGCTTGCCTACTAGCATGTGTGAGGCTCTGAAAAAAAAAAAACACAAGAAGAAACCCGAACAGAACCATAAGAAATTTTTGAAAATTTAAAGCAAGCCAAAGTCCAAAATCAAGATTTGAGGTCTAGAGAGATGACTCAGTGGTTAAGAACACTTGCTATTCTTCCAGAGGACCTGGATTTGATTCCCAGCCCCCACATGGCAGCTAACAGCCATTTGTAACCCTCTTCTAGCCTCTGCAGGCATTACACATATGTGAGGCATTTACATGTAGGCAAAACACTCATACACATAAAAATAAAAAATTAAAATAAGGGCTGGAGAGATGGCTCAGTGGTTAAGAACACTGGTTGCTCTTACAGAAGACACACATTCGAATCCCAGCACCCACATGGCAGCTAACAACTGTCCCTAACTCCAGTCCCAGGGGATCCCACAGCCAGCCTCTTCTGACCTCCATGGGCATTGCACAACATGGGCACACTTACCTACATGCAAGCAATACATGCATACACATAAAAAATAATAAAATTCTTTTTTAAAAATTAAAATTAATTTTTAAATAAGTTTCATGTTAGATAACTAAGATCTTCATTTTCCTCTCTCCTGGAAAGAAACGAGTAAGCCTACAGCAGGCCCCAGACTCCCAAGAAGTAACTATACCCAGATGCAGTTACCTTAAAAACAAAACAGAAGTTTAAAAGTTGAAACCTGCCAGGCATGGTGGTGCACACGTTTAATCCAGCACTTGAGAGGCAGGCGAAGCTCTGTGAGTTCAAGGCTAGTCTAGTCTACACAGGGAGTTGTAGGCCCGCTGGGGTACAGAGAGACCCTGTCTCATAAAGACCAAAAATAAATAAATAAATAAATAAATAAATTAATTAATTAATTAATTAATTAATTAATTAAAAATACCAAAAATAAATAAATTAAATAAATAAATAATAAATAAATACCTGAAGGTGCAGACAAGCAGTTCTTTGGTGTTTTGTGTTTTATTCCAGGGTGACTGTCCTACACAAGTGTCTCAGACTGTGGTTACAATACATGCAGAGGAGAAGATATAAACAGGTGTGTTGTACGTTCCTGCAGGTAGCTCAGCCACTGAACTTGGTGGATTCATTATCTTTGGAAAGATTATTGGAAAAGGCCCGTGCCAGGAGATCTTGTTCTGGTTTGGAAGAGGGGTGCTATAGAAAACCCAGAGGTGTTTCCTTCAGGCCCCACTAGTGTGGAGTCTGCACAACTCCCATTCTTTATTGCTATGGAGGCACAGGTGCTTTCAGGAAGCAGTGGCCCTTCCCAGCCTTTCCAGTCTTTATTCACACTCCTTTGTTTGTTTGGCTTTTTGTTTTGGTCTTTTTGAGACAGGGTCTCCCTGTAGCCCCAGCTGTCCTGGAACTCACTATGTAGACCAGGCTGGCTTTGAACTCACAGAGATCTGCCTGCCTCTACCTCCCGAGTGCTGGGATTAAAGGTGTGCACCACCACGCCCGGCCACTCATTTGGTTTTGAACTGTCTGTCACCCCATCTCATTCTTTGAGTCCCAGGATTACAGGAGTGGGTCTCTATGCTTGACTTCCATTTATGAGATATTGTTTAGTTGCTGTGCCATAGACCCTGTGCTGGTACAGCTGTGATACAAAGAAGGCAAAATGCCTGCTTTCTCATCTGAATGCCAGGGTGGTAGGTTAAGTGTGACTTAGAGGTCACTCCTAATGATTGGGAGCAGGTGTTTGAAATGATAATAGAGGATTTATTTATTTATTTATTTATTTATTTATTTATTTATTTTTGGTCTTTTTGAGACAGGGTCTCTCTGTGACCTCAGTTGACCTGGAACTTACTGTGTAGACCAGGCTGAACTCACAGAGATCCACCTGCCTCTGCCTCCCAGTGCTGGGATTAAAGGCATACACTACCATGCCTTGCTCTCTTTGGTTTTTTTGTGTGTGTGTTGTGGGGGAGAGTAGTACCAAGACCAGAAGAGGGCACTGGATCTCCTGGAGCTGAAGTTCCAGGCAGATGTGAGCCACCAGACATGGGTGCTAGGTATGGAACTCATCTTCTGGAAGAACTGGAAGTGTTCTTAACTGCTGAGCCATCTCTCCAGCCCCTGAATGGAGGATTTTGAGGATGCAGACTTAGTAGGGATGATGGTTCATTTGGTGATACCTGTGCAGAAAGTACAAGGGTTTGGCCATCCTTGGCAATGAGTCAGAGGAAAACACAAGCTAAATTTCCCCCAGTTATCTTTGCTGCCCCCCCCCCCATCTCCAGTCCTCTGCTACCGAAGTCCAGCACACCTTTAATCCCAGCACTTGGGAGGCAGAGGTAGCTGGATCTCTGTGAGTTTGAGGCCCTCCTGGTCTACATAGTGAATTCCAGGACACAGGGAGACCCTGTCCCAAAAAGACTGAAAACAAAAAATAAAAATCTGTCTCAAAAAACTAAAATGAGCTCTTAGAGAGATGGCTCAGTAGTTAAGAGCACCAACTGTTCTTGTAGAGGACTGTGTTTGTTTTCTAGCACCCACATAGTGGTGAACCACCATCCTGTGACTCCAGTTCCAAGGCCTCTTCTGGCCCCTGTGGGGCATTGCATGCACAAACGCATGCATACATATATATGCAGGCAAAACACTCACATACATAAATTGAATTAAGTTTTTTTTTTTAAAGTAAAACGAAAGTAATATACAGAATGGTAAAAATATTTACTACTTGCTGAATTGGGAATATGGGCTAATAAATATTCATTAGACTCTTATTTGTACTTTTTATATTTAAAAATGCTTATAAGAAAATGTAAAAAAAATAGATATTCTAGAAATGTTTGCAGTTATAGAAAGACATAAAGAAGAAAATATAGAGATGAAGACATTTGATGAGTATGTACACCCACATATTCACACTCATGTATATGCACACTGTTCCAATGAATTAGTGCTATGTAAAAAACCCTAATGGGGTTGGAGAGAGGGCTCAGCAGTTAGGAGCATGTACTGCTCTGGTAGAGGACCTAAGTTCAGTTCTTAGCACTCATGTCCCATGTTGGGCAGTTCACAGCTGCCTGTAACTCCAGCCCAGGGGAATCTAATTTGTCTCTGGTCTCCAGGGGCACCTGCACTCAGTGCACATACCCCTCATACACACACATAATTTTAAAAAGTAAAAAGTTTTGTGGTGGCGCATGCCTTTAGTCCCAGCACTCGGGAGGCAGAGGCAGGCGGATCTCTGTGAGTTCAAGGCCAGCCTGGTCTACATAGTGAGTTCCAGGCCAGCTGGATCTACAGGGAGACCCTGTCTCAAAAAAACAAAAAAAAAAAAAAGTAAAAAGTTTTAAAAAATACTACAAATTTAGGCTAGGCTGGTGGCACATGCCTTTAATCCCAGCACCCAGGAGGCAAAGACAGACTGATCTACATAGCAAGTTGCAGGCCAGCTGGGGCTAGAGGGAGACCCCTTCTCAAAAAAAAAAAAAAGTTAGCAGGGCATGGTGCCTTTAATCCCAGCACTTGGGAGGCAGAAGCAGGTGGATCTCTGTGAGTTCTAGGCCAACCTGGTCTCCATAGCAAATCCAGGCCAGCTGGGGCTACAGGAAGACCCTGTCTCAAAAAAAAAAAAAAAATTACAATCTTTGACATTAAAATACACCTTTCTATTGTGTTTCTATTGTCCAAAAATGGAGATGAAACATGAGATGAAATGATGGAGAGGCTGTTCTCTGCTGCAGGGTCCCTAGACTCTCAGCTAGGAAGATTCTAATGGCAAGATGTTGGAATTATCTAGAAGTTTCTTTACATACATCTGCTTCCTAGATTGGCTGGATTCAAGACTGGGTTAGTCAGACAGCCCATTGTGGCCTCCCTGTAAAGGGGTGACTTCGTCACAGACTGGTGGCCTTGGGGGAAATCAAATATCAGGGCTTTAAAAGTGAGTGTTCCAAGCAGGTGTGGTGGTACATGCCTCTAATCCTTGCAAGTAGAGACAGGAGGATTGCTGCAAGTTCAAGGTCAGAGACCAGTTGGATCTACATAGCTTGTTCTAGGATGGACAGAGGTACAGAGTGAGACTTTGCTTCAAACAAAACAAAACAAACACCAAAAAAGTCTTCCAGTGAACAAGGCAGAAGCTGCAGGTCCTTAGCAGTCAGGAGTGTTGCCCTCACCACCTTTGATCAAAGCCATTCCACGCAGATGCTGGGGGAGGGGACACAGATTACTTCTCTGTGAAAAAGGATCGAGGACTGTGCAGCCATTTTTAAAAAGATCCATTTATTTTTATTTTATGTGTCTTTTGCCTGCATGTATGCTTGTGTACCACATGCGTACTTGGTAGAGGCCAGAAGAGGCGTCAGATCCCCAGGAACTGGAGTTATAGATTGTTGTGAGCCTTCACATGGGTGGAGCAGCTAGTACTCTTAACCCTGAGCCACCTTTCCAGCCCCTTTGCAGCCATTTTTTAAAGCCTCTTCCCCACATGTATGTAGGCTTTTTTTGCTGAAAGTTTTGGGTCATGGAGGCATATGTTCTTTTTTTTTTTAAAAAAAAAAGTGTGTTTGCCGGGTATGGTGGTGCATGCCTTTGATCCCAGCACTTGGGAGGCTGAGGCAGGCGTATCTCTGTGAGGCCAGCCTAGTCTACATAGTGAGTTCCTGGCCAGCTTCTCAAAAACACCACCCCCCCAAAAAAAAACAAAAAAACCCCTGTGTTTCTGTGTGGTGCATGCATACATGTGTGTATGTACATGTACCTATGTACAAGGGAGGCCAGAGGAGGATGTCAGGAGTCCTGCTTTATCACTAACTGCCACATTTCCTAGGGGCAGGGTCTGTCACTGAGCCTGGAGCTAGCGCGGTGTGCAGCAAACTCTGGCATTCCTGTCTCTGCCCCTGTAGCCCTAGGGCTACAAGTGCATGCACCTACCATCTGACTTCTACGTGGGTGCTTGAGACTTGAACTCACGCTTGCACAACAGCAAGTGCTCTTACCTCCTGAGCCATCTTCCCCAGTCCTGGCATATATATTCTTAAGTCAGTTGGCTGTCTTCCTACTGATTTCCGTGATGGGAGCCTTTTACATTAATATATGTAAAAGAATCTATAAAAATAGAGACTGTAAACAAAAATCAAGAAATACTGTAGGTTGGGGATGTCTATTGATAGCATACATCGAAAATTTAAATGCTGACCTATAAAATAGGCAATGGGTACAAAACACTTCTATACCTTATGAAAAATATTTAGATAAATACACATGTGTGTGTGTATGTTTTTGTCTAAATATATGTTTGCCTAAATATGTATATAGAAACATGCTTATACCACATGCAATTAAAGCAGCAAATTATTTTCATGTCTCACATCACATTTTTCACTTAGCATATCAGCAGAAATCAAACACAACACTTTAATTTTGTTATCTTATTGTATGAGAGGCATTCTTCCTTTGAGTGTGATCCTAAACGTTCATTTAAAGAAAGCAAATCACAAAGGCCATTCATTATTTTACTTCAGCTGCTGCGGTCTAGAGCTGATGGTCATTTCCTGCAGAGAGCCCTGCTCTTGGTCTTCCATACATGGTGCAGACTCTGGCGAAGGCATCAGCAGGAACGTGTCCTCCACACAAGAGCAGTGTGTTTTTACAGGTATGCCACACAGGGCCAGTCTGTCAGGGGCAGACATCCCTGACCTAACTCTGTGGACTTTGGAGCCCCTGAGCTTTGCTTAGGGCTGCCCCTCCCGGAGTCTCTGATTCTTCCTGGGTTTTTCAATAATGTGGACTTATTGGGCTCATGTAGCAGGAAAAGTCAGCCAGCACGTCCCCTGGGAAAACTTCACTCATCCTTCTTGTGAGTGCTCTCAAAGCAGCTTGTGTTTTATGTCCCTGCTTTCATTTCATGACACTGGGCACTCTGTGCAAGCTTCCTGTTAGTGTTGTAACCAGAGTATTGATGGGACCTCGCCTCATCATTTCCCTGAAATGCTGAGTGCTTGTTTGCAAGACCTGGCTTTTTGAAGGCTTGAAACTGTAGTCATCAACAAAATTAGAAAGGTCAGGGAGCTGAAGTGTATCTTTTTAGCTCCCATAGGGCTAAACTTGCCCAGACCAGGTCTCACTACATGTTGATAGAACAGAAATTCCTAACAGTTGTGTGTCAGCCACTGTTCTGGTCCATGTATGATCCAAGAAAGGAAAGAAATGTATCCTCAGCCCTCGGCTGCATAGCAAGTCTGAGGCCAGCCAGGCTCATGAAACCCTGTCTCAAAAAAGGAAAAAAAAAAAGTACGTATATCTATATATCTCTATCTATCGATCAATTGATCGATAGATAGATTTCTTAGTCCTTACTCTGCTGTCACTGTGTCCATTATGGATTTTCTTCTCATGGCAGCCCTGAACAAGTACAGAGTGGTAAGTGAACTGCCATAGGAACACAGCAAGTGGCACAGCCAGGATTTATGTTCAAATCTCCATCCCAAAGTCCAGGTGCTTCTACACTGAAAAACTCCCTAGGAGCTTGTGAGATGAGTTTATACACAAGAATGCACTGGAAAACAGTTCAGGAGAATACATCCATGAGTCTACCATGAAGTCAGACCAAAGTTCTGCAGGTCAGAGTTAGTGCTGCGGAGGCCTCTGGAGGAGGCTTTGGGGGAGCCAAAGAGGCAAGAATGGATGGTCCGTCACAAGATGAGAGGCTAGATGGAACTGGAATGATTCTAGAGACAGATAATGGGACATGTTGGGGCTCAGACACAGAACTAATAGATGTTCTGAAGACCACCCTGTATGCAGCGTATATCAGCTTAGGATGGACAGATTGTGCATTGGTCCTGTGCAGTGATCTGAAACTTGGAGGACTCCAGGTGCTGGTTTGAGAGGCTCACCGGGGATGCAGGGACTCCTGAGCGCCAAGATGGAAGAGACCTTTTTAGGGGGTGGTGTCAGGGGACAGAGGCTGCCCAGAGGACAGCTCTTGCTTCTCCCTCTTTCTCCAGAAGTCAGAGAAGCTTCACTTTTATCTGGTATCGCTGTTGCCATCTGGTAGATGATCCATTCCAGAAACAGCTCCTGTACCACTTCTGTACAGCATTCCCCTTTGCGTTTCAGACAAGTAGCTGTCCTTGGCTGATGTTTTCTTGTTTTGTTTGGTGTGCTATGGGGGCCCAAACTTTGGAGCTAGGGAGTAGCCAGGAATCTCGAAGGATGGTAGATGCCTGGCCTACCTTGGGCTAATTTGTTGGCTGGTTCTTTTTAGAAAACATTTCAAGTTCCTATCTTTTTAGTTCATGAGGGGGCAGGCAACTGAGTAGCTGACTTAGAAGCTAGTCAGGCCTGAATTTAGAACTTTGCTCTGCCATCTGCCAGCTCTGTGACCCTGGGCTGCTCAGTTGCTCTGAGTCAGTCTTCAAAAATGTACAGTGGAGATGATTTGATAATACTCTGTGTCATAGGTTGTCTGAAAACTAAATGGGATAGTACAGTACATGTCAAATACAGAAATTCTGGCACAAAGTGGTAGCAGTATCATTGGACCCCCAAGTTTATGACTCAGTGGTACAAAAGCATTCATATAGTTCCAAATAAATATCTGATCTTCTATGCTCTTTAAATATTTCCTTTTCTGAAACAGAGTCTCACTATTTAACCCTGGCTGGTCTGTAATTCTTCTATGTAGATCAGGCTGATCTCAAACTCACAGATCTGCCTGCTTCTTCCTCCTGGGTTTCCTGGGTTTAAGGTGTGCGTCACCATGCCTGACCCTCATTTAAATATTTTAATGTTCTGGGGCTGGAGAGGTGGCTCAGTGGTTAAAAGCACTGACTGCTCTTGTGGAGGAGCTGGGTTCGATTCCCAGCACCCACATGGTGGCTACACACTGTCCTTACCTCCAGTTCTAGGGGAATCCGAAGCTCTCTTCTGACCTCTGTAGCATTGCATGACATGGGTGCACTCACATACATGCAGGCAATACACTCATACACATAAAATAATAAATAAAATATTTAAAATTTTAATGTTCCACTTTATTTCTTGTACTGATTTTTCAGTTGTATGTCACAATTTTTAATGCCCTCTTCTGGTCTCTGCAGGCCCTTAACTCGTTGCAGCTCCTTTTAGAATTAATAAGCCATCTTGAGCTAAACACAGAAGCTGAAAACAGCAAAGCTCCACTTCCTTCCTACTCTTTATTTTTGTGTTTTTGAGATAGGTTCTCACTATGCAACCCTGGCTAACCTAGAATTTCCTATGTAGACCAGGCTGGTTTCCATGTCACAGGCATATTTTTAAAATAAAAAAAAAAATCTGTGTATATATGTATGTCTGGGTTGGGGTATGTGCACAGGAATGCAGGTGCCAGCAGAATCCAGACGCAATGATTCCATGAGCTGGAGTTGCAGGTGATTGTGAGCCACCTGACATGGTTGCTGGGAACTGAACTTGGGTTCTCTGGAAGAGCAGTTTGTGCTCTTAACCACTGTACCATCTATCCAGTCCATGGACTTATTTTATATGTATGTGTGTGCTTGAGTATATGTATGTGCACCATGTGCATGCAGTACCTGCAGAGACCAGAAGAGGGCATTGAATCACCTAGAACTGGAGTAACAGGCAGTTGTGAGTCGCCTGATATGTGTGCTGGGAGCCAAACCTGAGACCTCTGGAAGAGTGGTATGTGCTCTTATCTTGACGGCTGAGCCATCCTTCCAGCCCTGAAATATTTTTTAAAATTAATAAAAAATTATATTTACTCATGTATTTTCCATTTCATTTCTATTATTTCCCTTCAGTCTTTAGCATTTTTATACTGCAAGACAACTAAAGATGACATCACTTTTGGTTTCTCCATTTTGGCTGAGTGTCTTCCCAGCCCTCTCTGGAATTTGTTTGGCTCTTAGCCCTGTGGGAGGAGCTCTCTGCTAGGCCTCAGGGAGTCTGCATTTGTGGCCCTCATCTGAGGACCAGGGATAACCTCAGGAAAATCTGCATATTCCTGACTCTGTAGCATTTTCTCCTTTCCTGTCCTGTCTTTCAGTTCCATCTCTTTAGCAGTCTTGAAGCCAACCTCTGCATCCTCTGCTTAAAGACAGTCACAGGGCTGGGCTTCCTTCTCTGTCTCTCCAAAAACTACCCCAAGGCATAAAGCCCAAGTGACCTAGGAAGTTACTGAGTGATCTCTGTTTGAAGCTCTGTAGTGGACATTTCTTATTGTCCAGTGTCTGGAAGCTGTTACTTCATTTATTTAAGTCTACTTTTGTAATACAAAGTGGAAGACGGGTCAGGACCTCTGATAATGTCAGAGCTGAAGATGGAACTCTTTGAGTGATGCCAAGGGAGCAGTCTTCCCCCAGCACCCAGCTTTTGTCCCATGACTCTGCTAGTATTAACCTGTGGGTCACTTGTCCCCGCACTGCTTTGGCAGGATTTGCTGTAGTTAATGATGAGCAGATAGTCCAGAGTAGGTGACCAGGCATTGGTCTCCACATCTGCTTGTTTGATTCACCTGGAATACTAGTTTATAAAAGTACCATGTCTTGGGTCTACCTCAGACCTGTTCAGTCAGTATAGGCTGGACAGTATTGGTAGGTGAGTGATGGTAGGTGAGTATCTAGGCTCCCAGAGTCTGATTCATTCTGTGCAAAGGCTGGGCTAATGCTGGGAAGAAGTGGGTAAATGCTGGGGATTTAGAGACGATTGTATTTCTTCTCTTTTTCTTTACTGTCTCCTTTATGAGAGCATATAGGCTTGGCAGCAAGTACCTGTACTTGCTGAGCCATCTGCCTACCAGCTATTGGATTGTTTTTAAGTTCTTGATCTCTATTCTGTTTTTCTTATTTGTATGTTTTTAGGCTGACATTAGAGAAGCAAGTGTTTGCTATCTGGAGGCAGAAGGTGTTTCAGCATGGAGAAAACCGCTTGGCAGAGAGAATGGTATGGGGCTGTCCCTGAGTAGTTTGTGGAGGTATGAGCCATTTTAAAGCCTTGTTCAGGAAGTTGCACAAACCTGGCTCACTCTGCAGTGTTCCTGCCCTAGGCTCCTGAGCTGTACTGGGTCTAGACTGATTGACGTCTCATATCAGTAAGGGTCCCAGGCTGAAGGAGCATTTCTTTTGCTCATCACTATTTGTAGATTCTCTCCTAGCTTCTGTACTGCCCACCCACTGGACTGTTGTGTTTGCTTCAGGCTATCCTTCAGGCAGAGCGGCAGCTTCTGTGGAGGTCCTGGTTCATGTGGTACCAGCAGGCAGCAGCGAATCAGCAGGAACGGAAGTGGCAGGCCATGGCCTGTGCCTACCACCGTCTCAGGCTGCTCAGGAAGGCTTTCTGTGTCTGGAGGGCAAGCACCCAAGGGTTCAGGACAGAGTGAGTAGCAGTTTTGCTCCAAAGCCTCTCCCACCCTAGGCCAGCTTTGACTGCAGCTTCCCAAATGCCCACTCAGAGGGCTGTGCCAGCTTAGACTGTGTAAGTCCCAAGAATTCAGCCTGAACCAAGGCAGTACCTCAGTCCATCATGGCACCCCACCCTCAGAAACACAGCTACATCTTGCTTACTGCTTGGGACCCATCTGAAGTGATTGTGGTCATGAACAGGGCATAGACTAAGGAACCCATCATGAGGTAGTTGACCACTGGCCAGTGGGCAGGTTGTGATAGCTTTTAAATAGACCACAGGCTATAGGGGTTTGTGGAGGAGGAAGGGCAGGTAGCCCATGTGTCCAGTACAGAGATGTCCTGCTTTGGTGCCTCTCTGTACCTTCTGTGTATGTGGAGGATGTCACCACCCCTCACCCACCGGGCACATTCAGCCTCCTCCCAGCAGAGCTCAGGACTAGTAAGTGACAGTACTGCTTGAATCCCCCTGAGGTTTTGTGCAAAATTTCAAATCTCTTTCCTGGGAGAGATCCAAATCCTTAGCTCTTCAGCTGAGCTGTGGGGAAGCAGGGCAGGGACCACAAAGAGGAGCCCATCCAGAGGTCTTAGGACCTAGGTTTCTTTGCTGAGTTTCTCCTGTTCCCCCACAGGAGGATGGGCAGTGTGAGGGCTGTGCGATTCCACTCAGCACGGCTCCTGCATTGGGCCTGGAGCAGGTGGAGAGAGGTAAGGCTTTGGCACAGGTATCTCCCAAGTGTGGCTTTTGGACAGGTGGAGCTGTTTGTTAGTGTGACTCAGAGTGGACAGATGGGCTCCTCTATAGGGCCGCAAAGCCACCTGTCTCAGGAGTGGGAGTGGCAGCAGATGAGGAAGTGTTAATTCACTTTGTGAGGTTATTGGCCTGAAACTTCTTGTTCTTTTAGGTGCTAAAATATTCTTACCTGAACTTACTGAATATAAAATGTTTGTTTCGAGTTTTTTTGTTGTTGTTGGTATTGTTTTTTGAGACAGGGTCTTGCTCTGTAGCCGGGACTGGTCTGGAACTCACTATGTAGATGAACTCAGAGATTCGCCTGCCTCTGCCTCCTGAGTGCTGGGATTAAAGGCGTGCACCACTGTGCCCAGTATAAAGATTTATTTATTTATTTATTATTAATTAATTAATTAATTAATTTTTTTTTTTGGTCTTTTTGAGACAGGGTCTCTCTGTAGCCGGGACTGGTCTGGAACTCACTATGTAGATGAACTCACAGAGATTCGCCTGCCTCTGCCTCCTGAGTGCTGGGATTAAAGGCATGAGCCACCATGCCAGGCTTGAATGTAAAGTTCTTGATCTAACCATTTACAGGAACTCTGCTAAGGGCATAGCATCTAAGTCAACATCCACCAAGCATTTGCTGTCAGGTACTTGCTCACCTGAGTCCCATGTAAACCTTGGGAAGTGTATATTTATAGATGAGGAAACTGAGGTTCAGAGAGTTACTTTAAACACCTTATGTGAGCTCACACAGAATGTAGAGACAACGCTGGAGTGAGCCCTTGCCTGGGCCCACAGTAGCCTCTCTTCCCTGTGTGCACAGTGCCTGGCCCTGACGGCAGAAGAGCAGGAAAAGCTGAAGCACGTGGACCTGCACAGACAGCATGTCCTGCTTCACAGGGCTCTGCAGAAGTGGCGGGTAGGAGCCATCTTTTCTGCCAGGTCTCCTTGCTGTAGGGGTAGGGGAGGCTTATGGAGACTCTCCTTTTTCTTCATGGCCCTCCCCAGAGTGATCTGTCAAAGTTCAAACAGGAGGTGCCCCAGAAAGTGCTTGGGGGTGGGGGGTGGGGTAATCAGCCTTCCAAGATAGGTGGTTCCTGTGCAAGAATCCATAGGTTGGGCCTAGTAGGACATTTGGGGGTGGTGAGTGCTCACCTTGGATTGAGGGCCTTCAGCCTCTCCCTACCCTCTTTGCGAGCTCTGGGCATGGCAACTTCTTTGCTATGAGACGGACCTGTAGAGGGAGAAGTATGGGCCCAAGGGTAGCCTCCTGTCCTCCTCATTTCCCACAGATTTACCAGGACAGGGTGCGGAGCATCCTACAGGAGGTGGCCGCCAGGGAAAGCCAGCACACCAGGCAACTGCTGAGGTGAGTTTCTGAGTGCCTTAAGGGACCCAGGCTGAGGGAAGAGACTCCAGAGACAGTCGCTGTGGGGAGTCCTGTCTCAGGGCAGCCAGCCAATGGGCCTCAGCTCCTAGTGCTGTTCATGTTGTGGTTTTGGCTTTCCCACAGCAAGTTCTGCATTTTCTGGTTCACCTCAATGCGTCCTGAACTCCTGCCATGGGCAGGGCAGCTTTGGAAGGCAGCTTTCACCCAGATGGGAGACTGCACAGCCTCCCACTTGTCCTGTTCCTCTGAGCAGTTTTTCCTCCCTGCTTCACACAAAAAGCTTCAGCCTCTTGAGGCATCATTTCATTCCCATCCCTGCCCTGGAGTCTGAAACTCTGTTCTGTCAGTTTCCAGGCCATCTCTAACTATCTCTGAAGTTACCTCCCAGACCATAGGACCACCTATGCCTCTCAGCACTTATGGCCACCCTCCATTCCTTTTTCTTTTTCTTTCTTTTTTTTTTTTTTTTTTGATTTATTTATTTTGATTTTATGTGTATGAGTGTTGACAGTGCCCATTGCCCACAGAGGATAGAAGAGGACATTGGGTTCCTTGGATCTGGAGTTAGAGGTGGTCGTTAGCCACCATGTGGGTGCTGGAATTTGAATCCAGGTCTTCTGCAAGAACAGCCAGTGCTCTTAACTACAGAGATGTCTCTCCAGCCCTCTCCATTCCTTCTAAGCCAAGTTCTGAGCTCGGTTTTCCAGGTGGCCTCCCTTGTTCCCTTTTCTTTTGTACTGTTCAGCACACACTATTCCAGCAGCTTGTGGGCTGAGAGCTTTATGGTCTTTAAACACCTTTACCCCTCCTCTGAAGTCCCGTAAAGCACCATCCCGTTCCTCAGACAGACCAGAATGAGAAAGCGGCCTCCCCAAGCCACTCCGAGACTAGGTGCTGGTGTTTAGTGTCCTTCTGTGGCTTCCTGATCTCTGTTCTTTGATTATCTCTCTGTAAAGCACCTGAATTATCATTGCCTGGTTTCAGCTCTGTGTTGCCTTTATTTCAAACTCCTGAGGACTTGGGGTTAGGTACTGTGTACTGCTGGGTGCCTGGTGTTTACCTGGTGCCCACACAGAGCAGGCAGTCAGCATCTGCTGGATACAGACAAGAGCATGAACTTGGGTGTCAGTAAAGCAAATGCCCTGAGGTGAAGAGTCCTCATTCAGGAGCTGGGGAAGAGTGAGGGTAATTCACGAAGCCTCTGGACCCCTCCAAACTTGGGACATTGCCCACACCTGGCCTTTGTTTTTGTAGGTGGGTGTTACATCGCTGGAGAGAAAATACCATGGCCCGATTGGATGAGGCCAAAAAAAACTATCAAGCAAGTGTACACTACAACAGGACTCTGTGTTCCAAGGTGAGGACAAGGTGGTCACCCGAGGACTTGGGGATCATGTTCCAGCTAGCATGCTGGATTGGCACGGAGCAAGGAACCCCCAACCTGGGTAACCCTCCCCTATCTTGCACACATGCATATCTGCAGGTATTTTTTGTTTTTACTGAATTATGAACCAGTGTCCATTAAAATAAAAACATGCCACATAGTAAGTGGAACTGTACTTACCAAAACCATTGTTTTCCATATACATGGAACTCTAAACATGAATAAACCATGTAAGTGACTGAACTTTAGGACCTCATCTGTTAAAACAACGCTGGCTCTTACTGGCTGGGAAGTTCATGGCTGTGAAGACTCTGAAAAGCATGGAGCATCCCAACAATGTGAAGTTCTTGGTCATCTACAGTGGAAACAACCCCAAACTACCTCATTCCCTCTGTGGGGATGGATGTGAGAAAACGTGATGTGGTAGGGCTGGTCCCATGTTCTGGGGATGAGGGTGGTGTGGACAAAGAAGCAGTTCAAGCAGAAATGGAGTGTAACAGAGGTAGTCCCTGGCCATGGGCCCGGAAGAAGGTAGACTGCCAGAAGCTGAGTGGTCCAGGCTCACGTTTTGGAGTTGCAGCAGCGGCAGCAGCTGCATCAGGTGAAGGCTGGCCTCTTCCTAGAAAAGTGCAAGGCACCTTTGTAACCCATACCCTGGGAGGAGATGACTGGGTTGGGCTGGGTTTAGAGCTCAGCTTGGAAGGCAGGCTCCTCAGGTGGGAATGAAGTTCATGATTGTGACCTGATACCATGTTTCCCCTGGCTCCTTGACTTCTTTTAAAAGTACTCTGTGGTGCTGGGGAAATGGCTCAGTAGGTAAGAGTGCTTGCTTACTGAGCAAGCATGGGGGACCTGAGTTTGAATCCACAGCTTCCACATAAAAGCTGGACATAGCTGTGCATTTTTAAAAATTTATTATTTTTATTTTTTTAAGTTATTTTTTTACTTTTTTGTCTTTTTGAAGCAGGGTCTCCCTGTAGTCCCTCCTGTCCTGGACTCACTATGTAGACCACGCTGGCCTTGAACTCACAGAGATTTGCCTGCCTCTGCCTCCCAAGTGCTGGGACTACAGGTGTGCACTATCATGCCCGGCTTATTATTTTATGTGTATGCGTGTATTGCCTGCATGTAAGTAAGTGCACCCATGTCATACAATGCCCAGGGAGGTCAGAAGAGGCTGTCAGATTCCCTTTGGACTGGAGTTATGGACAGTTGTTAGTTGCCATGTGGGTGCTGGGATATGAACCTGGGTCTTCTGCAAGAACAACCAGTGTTCTTAACTGCTGAGCCATCTCTCCAGCCCATGCCGTGCATTTCTATAACCCTAGTCCTGGAGTTGGGGTGGAGATTCTGGGAGCTTATTAGCCAGCCAACCTAACCAAAACAGGGAGCTTCAGGCTGAGTGGCCCTTAGCAGTAATAAGGGGGAATAATAAAGGCTATCCAGTGTTCTCCTTTGAACCTCTGCACCCACACATGTGTATATACATACATGTGCACCCCCCCTCCCCCATGAAGTGTGTTTTTTTTTGGCTTTCTGTGTTTTTGACAGGGTGTTCTAGTTTGCTTTCCAATTGCTGTGACAAAACACTCTCACCAATACCAGCCCGGGGAGGAAAGGGTTTATTTGGCTTACATCTTCTGGGTCACACTTCATCACTGAGGGAGCCCAAGGTAGGAACTCAGGGTAGGAACCTGGAGGCAGGAGCTGAAGCATAGGCCATGGAGGAACGCTGCTTACTGGCTGTTCCCCTGGCCCATGCTCACCCTGCTTTCTTAGACAAAACAGAACAACTTGCGGCTATGCCCTCCCACATCACTCAAAAATCAAGAAAATACCCCACAGACATGGCCACAGGCCAGTCCAATGGAGGCAATTCCCCAATTGAGGCTCCCTCTACCCAGGTGTGTCAAGTTGACACTAAAGTTATCCAGCACACAGGGTCTTGCTATGAAGCCCTGGCCAGCCTGGAACTCACTATATAGACCAGGTTGGCCTTGAATTCAGAGATCAGCCTGTCTCTGTGCTAGTGTGTCCTGCCATACTCACCCCACAAAGATTGGGGTTTTTTTGTTGTTGTTGAGTTTTTTGTTTTTTTTTGAGATAGGGTCTCCCTCTAGCCCCAGCTGGCCTGGAACTCACTATGTAGACTAGGCTGTCTTAAACTCACGGAGATCTGCATGTCTTTGCCTCCCGAGTGCTGGGATTAAAGATGTGCTCAACCACATCCGGCTTCCACAAAGGGTTTTGTCACTGGGTTTCCTATGTAGTAAAGAATGAATGTGGACCAGGCATGATCGCACACATCTTTAATCCCAGCACTTGGGTGGCAGAGCAGGTAGGTCTCTGTGAGTTCCAGAATAGCCTGCTCTACATAGAAAGTTCTAGGCCAGCACAGAGACCCTGTCTCAAAAAAGAAAAAGAAAACAACATACATTCTGATGAACAAATCACAATAGAATTAGAATTCATTTAACAACTTCACTTCTCTGTGGCACAGTATAGTTTAAATCCCCCAATAGAAAAGCCCCAGTGTCTGAAGTGCTTGACTTCCTGTGAAGGGACCTGAGACACCATCTCAGACCTGGGATGCCTGCATGGATGGCCTGTGTGAATTCCTTTGTGGATACTTCTGCGGATGGCTGTGTGCATATCCTGTATGGATACCAGTGTGAATGACAGGCTGCCTCTTGGGATGTATATGACCAAACATTAACTTCTCAGTCCTACTGCATGAAGAGCCACCATTTATCACAGACCCAGTATGTCCTGGAAGGCAGGACATGAAATGATCTCTTGTTATCTACCTGCCTGCAGGTCCTGGTCCAATGGCGGGAGGTCACATCAGTACAGATATACTACCGACACAGGGAGGCTGCTACCCTCAGGGAGGCCCGGAAGGCACTGGATAGGGGTAAGTGAGGCCTGTGGAAGCAGTGTTGGGAGCAGTACACAGGATGACCCAGGGTTTTCTTGCTCCACTGGCTTTATCTTTGTATACTAGTTTCCTGAGGCTCCTATGACTGGGAGGCTTGAAACTGCAGGAACCAATTCTCTCACAGTGCTGGAGGCCAGAAGTTTGGGTTTTCTCTGGAGGCTCTGGGGAAGAATCCTTTCTGGGCTCTTCTAGCTTCTGGTTGCCGCCATCCTTGGTGTTCCTTGGTATGTGGATATCTCACCTCATCCACAGTGTCCTCACGTGGTGTTGTCTTCCTGTGTCACTAGGTGTCTTCCTATAAGGATACCCAGCACTCTGGGTCTAGGGCCATCCTACCCTTAATCCATCACCTCTGCACTGACCCTACTGCTGAATAAACTCAGGTTCTCAGGTCCCAGGAGGACATGTTCAGTTTAGTGCCTCATAAAGCTCTCCCAAGTGGTTCCTAAACATCCTCTGTTGCAGTGAAAGGCCAGGGCCTGGGATCCACAGTGAAATTAGGAGGCTGGATTGGAGGGATTGGAGGGATTGGAGAGGAAGGGAGGCATTGAATCGATGGGAAAGTCTTTCCAGCCACTGGGCATTATGTGGTTGGTCTCAGGAAGTGTCACTCCCCACTCTCTCACCATCCCCATGATGTCAACATCCTAGGGAGTTCAAGACAGGCATCTGCCTCTGCAAGTGCAGGAGACATGCAGAGGCCTAGGGGATTGTCCTGACACAGATCAGTGCCCTACTCTGGGGGCCAACATACAGAAAGGGGAAGGTCATGATTAGAACAGATGGAAATACAAAGTGAACACGAAATGGTTTAAATCAGATGGTGGAGAAATTTGATCAAGCTTGCTCTAGGACAACATTCTTTGAGTGTTGGTTGGATTCTGATAGGTTTTTGTGGATGAAAGTGGATCCCAGCCCTGTTTCTAGTTCTGTCTTGAGAAAGAATTGAGGGCTTTAAAGCCCATCCCTTGGCCTTGTGTGTTCACTCTTGGCCATAGTGAAAAGTTGGAGGCACAGGATTCCTGGTGCAGCCTGAAGCTGTTTCTCTCTGAAGGGACTTTTCCTAAAAGAGGGTAGTAGCACAGAGCAGGCCCCCAAATCCCACATCCACAGCAGGTGGCACAAGGGACTGAGGAGGCTGAGCAGTAAGATACTGTGCACATAGGGGTATTCAGGACAACTCGCTCAGTTTCCTGGCTTATATTAAGACCTCAGGATCTCAGACACACCTAGCCTGGGGTTAAGGGGAAAATATTTGCACATGAAGTAGAGTGCTTAGGAAGTATATGTGGCCTGTGCCTGCAGTCTCAGTGCTTGGAAGGCAGGATGATTGCTTGAGCCTAGGAGTTCAGGCCAGCCTGAAAATATAATGAGACTACTCCTTTTTAAAGATTTATTTATTTTTATTTTTTGGTCCTTAAATATATATATATATATTTATTTACTTATTTAATTTTATGTGTATGAGTGTATTGCCTGCGTGTATGTGAGTGCACCTGTGTCGTGCAATGCCACGGAGGTCAGATGAGGGCTTCGTATTCCCCTGGAACTGGAGTTTATATGTATGAGTGTGTTGCCTGCATGTATGTGAGTGCACCTGTGTCGTGCAATGCCACGGAGGTCAGATGAGGGCTTGGGATTCCCCTGGAACTGGAGTTAAGGACATTTCATAGCTGCCATGTGGGTGCTGGGAATTGAACCCAATTTCTCTGCAAGAGCAGTCACTGCTCTTAACCGCTGAGCCATCTCTCCAGCCCGTTTTTTGGTCTTTTTGAGATAGGGTCTCCCTGTAGCCCCAGCTGACCTGGCACTCACTATGTAGACCAAGCTGGCCTCTATCTCACAGAGATCCACCAGCCTCTGCCTCCTGAGTGCTGGGACTAAAGGTGTATGCCACCATGCCTGATTTGGATTTATTTTATTTTAAATATTTTATTATTTTTATTTTTTTATGTGTATGCATATATTGCCTGCGTGTAGGTAAGTGCACCCGTGTCGTGCAATGCCCGAGGAAGACAGGAGAAGCTGTTGGATCCCCTGGAACTGGAGTTACAGACAGTTGTTAGCTGCCATGTGGGTGCTGGGATTTGAACCCAGGTCTTCTTCAAGAACAACCAGTATTCGTAACCGCTGAGCCATCTCTCCAGCCCTGATTTGGATTTATTTTTTATTTTTAATGATGTACCGGTCTGTGTGTGGGTATGTGCATGTGAATGCAGGTGCCTTCAGAAGCCAGAGGCATCAGGTCCCCCAGGAGCTGGAGTTACAGGTGGTTGTGAGCTGCCTGACATGGTTGCTGGGAAATGAATTTGGTACTTTGGAAGAGGAGTATGTGCTCTTAACCACGGAGCCATCTCTCCAGTCCTAGGGGCTCCTACTTCTAAAAAAGTAGTGAAGGGTGCTGAGCATGGTGGTGCACGCCTTTAATCCCAGAATTTGGGAGCCAGAAGCAGGTAGATCTCTGTGAGATCAAGGCCAACCTGGTCTATATAGCAAGTTCCAGGCCAGCTGGGGCTACAGGGAGACCCTGCTGTAAAAAACAAACAACAACAAGAAAAAAAGACAGTAGTAAAGGCCAAAGGTCACACAACCTAGTGATATGACCTCAGGCTAGTCCCCACTATCCCAGTCTCTTTCTTCAATTATAAAATCATCTGTGGTACCTTCCTCTCAAGGTTGACACTTAGGGTGGTGCAGCTGTAATGAGGTACCTAGGCAAGACACTTAAAGCTGCACCATGATACATTGGTACAACACAACAGTTGGCCTCCAGCTCACAGACACTACCTTCTCTGCTTGCTTGAATGGGTCCAGAGAGTCTTCCCACATTCAGGCATCCCCCATGCGCCAGTGAAAGGTCTACTTGGTGTGGCCCAGAGAGTCAACATGACTAGCAGACCATTTTATAAACCCTTTCTTGGCCATGGCTTGGGTTGGTTTGACTTCTAAGCTTGGTTTCCTGCAGGCAAGGCTAGGCAGCATCCTCTTTCAAGCTTTGGCTCCATAAGAGGCCGCCTTCTCTCGGAACTGTGGGTCTCCTTTCATATGCCTGGTAGCCCTTGGTATGTGGCTCTGTGGGGCCTGGCACACCTGCAATGGCTCTGAACAGGGTTGCAACTCTGGGACAGCCTTTGAGGACACAGCAGTAAGAAGAAGGTCTGGTTCCAGTCCTCAGAGTGCACAGATGACCAGACCACCCTCACAGAGTGGTCATGACTCACCTGTGGTGGTTTCAATACTCACAGAAGGCTGGGTGTTGTTCCACATAACCTCGCTCCACTGTCTAAACCTTCCTTGCTACATAGTCATTTTTAAATGAAAATCCTGTAAAATAGTCAATGGGTTTACATCTGCCTCAGGTTGTCTCCGGAACTGGTTTCTGCACTGGCAATACCGCAGCCAGAGGGCAGCCCAGCAGAGACTGCAGCTGGAGCAGGCCGCCAAGCATCACCAACAGCAGCTACTGCTGGTGGGGGTAGCACGGTGGAAGGCACATCATCTGGGGTGTGTCAGGAAAAAGGTGAGGCAGATGGTAGCAGCTCTCCAAAGCTCCACATGTGTCACAGGGTATCTAGGCCAGGCACCCATTTCTTGGAGAGGGGTCTCCAGGCAGAACTGCAGGCGGGTGGCCAGGGCGCTGCTGCTTTAAGATTCTGTAGGAACAGAGCTGTAGGAGCCTTTCTGGACATCTAGTGGAGATTGGAAAAACCAGCCTCAGAATCAGGTCTCCCCGCAAGGGAAGGTGGCTCATAAGAGGAACTTGGTTCACCTTAGCCCCTGGCTTCTCAGAGCTGGGGGACCTGTGGAACCTCGCCTGTCTGGGAGCCCTTGGCATCATTTGGCACAGATCCTGGTGGGTGGATGTTCACTTGGGTGGGAGCCTCCCCCTGAAGCCCCTGGGGCTACACCCTGGGCTGGGATGCAGGGTGTGGGGTCCGACATGCTGTGCATTTGCTCTCTCTCCAGCTTCTGCAGAAGCAAGGCACTCAGCTCCTAGCCCAGAGACTCAGACAGGCCTGCTTCTACCAGTGGAGACGACAGGTGGGACACCTGGCGCAACACCTCTTCCCTGCATATCTCTCCCTCCGAGGGCTTAGAGGCCTCGGCTTTAGTGACCTCAGCCCCACATCTAGTTTGTCTTTAATGCTGCCCTTGTCCCAGGCCCCATGCCCTTTGCCCTTCTCCTTTCCTACTGGTATTCTTCAATCCATAGACCCTTAGTATGTAGAAACACCGCAAGGTCAGAGCAAGGTCAGGGCCCTTCCCTGTAGATGCTTCAGTTAGGGTGGTGAGCTGGACAGAGTGATGACAGCCATGTCACCTGGGCAGTCCTGATGACCCAGTCTTTCTGGACCACAGCTGGTAGCCAGGAAGCAGGAGCAGTGGAGCACAGCACGAGCCCTGTGGTTCTGGGCCTTTTCCCTCCAAGCAAAGGTAATGATGGTTCTGCAGTTCCCCAGCTGTTCCTGCTGATAGGGGCTGCTCTGTGGCCCGGGTCATTATGGAGCCCCAAATGGAAGTCTGAGCCTTATCTACTGCCCTCCCTGCCCTTCTTCAAGGTGTGGGCCGCATGGCTGGGCTTCGTGCTGGAGAGGAGGAGGAAGAAGGAACGGCTGGAATGGGCTGTGCAAGCCCACCACCAGCAGCTCCTACAGGAGGGTGCCACGCGACTTCTGCGCTTTGCAGCTGGGATGAAGGTCTGCCGGCAGCAGTGGCAGGCCCAGCAGCAGGTCCAGGTAGGCCAGGGTTGCTGGTGGGGAGAGGGCAGGGCAGGGCAGGGCAGAGCAGAGAGCTGATGAGAAGCTGTGCTGCAGGCAGCCCACAGCCTCAACTGTGTAGTCCGCCATTGTGCTGAACTTTGGAAAAAGAAGGTGCTAGGCCCAGGCAAGAAGTCTCAGCCCCCAGCACCCATCATACTCAGCAAGAGAGTGACATTTGAGGATTCTCTTCTCCCTGAAGTTGCTGCTGAGGCTGGGGATGCCACCCTGGAGACCAAGAAGCTGAGAGCTCCTCTGTCTCGGGGAGCTCTGGGAAGCCTGGCACTGGCTGCTGGGGAGCCTTGCCTCCCAGAGATGTGAGTGGCCTGTACCTCACCTCTGCCTTTAGCCCTGGAACAAATGGGGGAAGCCTACCTGAGGGACAAACAGCCCTGGGAAGGGTAGGATGAGATTGTCGCAGCCTTGTCACAGCTGAGCTGCTAGGAGGCCTCTCTTCTCTGGTAGGTTCCCACCTTTCCAGGGCCTGGGGGAATGCAGTGGTTTCCCAACCACCTCTTCTTGAGGAAAATGGTGTCTGTTCCCCTGTGACATCTGTTCTGTCTTGTGACATTCACAGACTGTCAAGCCTTCATGCCCTGCTGTAGTCCTGCCAGTCTTTCCCTCTTCCTTCCCTGTCAGAAACCTCACTTTTTGTGGTACATGTCTGTTTTAGTTTGTTTCCTCATTGCTGTGACAAAACACTCTGACCAATACCAACTTGGGGAGGAAAGAGTTTATTTGTCTTACATCTCCCAGGTCACAGTTCATCAGGGAACC